GAATAATCACCCAGGGGGGATAGATTTTTTTTTTTCAAAAAGTCGAAGCTGTAATTTGATAATCGTAGAAGTTGAAGGCGATAAGAAAGAATTTTTTAAAGCCCTTTGATGTCTTCATGCCAGGGGTAAAAAAACGGCTGATGGTTCGAGGGAAAGAAATACCTCGAGACGAAACCCCTGCCCCTTAATTTTCTCCTCAGAAACTCTCATTATGTCAGGGATAAATAATTACTGATAATAATAACGACGTGGACAAATTACACGACGCATTGGAGTCCGTGTAATTATACACTAAATCATATGTAAATTCATCTGAAAAATGTGGTTTAATGATTTCGGGGTGAGTAATTAGTTCTGGTCGATGAACGAGGGATAAACCGATACCGTTGGTTTTTTAGTTGATAATTTCTTGTTAAACTAGATTATTTTCTCGGTTAAATAACAAATTTCACGGTTTACGCCATCTTTTATTTGTCGGTTGACGGGGGACAATTTTTTTATCTATTCAATTCAATTCAATCTCGCGCTTTCTTGGAAGATCAGCGGATAATTGAGATTGACAAGTGCATCATTACTGGGACAAGAAAAATTCACGGTCGACAGAAAAGATTTTCTTGAAAGGACACGAGAGAGAATTACAGGTGCACCTTAAAATTATTCAGTCCATCGATTTATGGAATAAATATTTATTATTGGATTATTATAAATTCGTCATTCGAAAAACGTCGATCGAAATTTTAATTGAATACGAGAGGAAAATTAGGCTGAATAATTTGATCAGTGCGGGGTACATCGGATGGCAATTAAACAACCGTTCTTTACAAGACCAGTACTTACAACTGGAATGCGTAATCGCGCTAAAAATAGAATTTACCTTTATCCTCAACAGTTGTTAAATCCACCAAGAGTACGAGATTGAGTAAACCCAAAGGCAATACACAGTAGCGGATATGTAATTTCATTTTTATTCCCCTCTTCCTCAATTCAACTTCTACATTCAATTTACCCCGACATTCTGCCTTCAAACAAAATTTTCCCACACGAATTCCCGCGCAAATATGATAACAATTTGTTCTCTGATGATAATTTCTGATGAAAAAAAAAATCAAGTCTCTCATCGATCGATCGTGAGGGGAATACTCGGTAGCTGATGTAATTAAATATTTAATTCTCCTCTTCCTGAATTTTATTCGATTCTCCGGTGGATCTGTCCCGGTCTTCCTGGATCCAAATGGAATTTCTTGACACCACACGATGTTGAGAATGTAACCGATGGGTTAAAGCAATTGTAAAACTGGATACCTCATAGCTGTCACTGTTGGATAGAGTTGTCGCAATGTTTTGCTTCTCTCTGATCGCAGGAAATTCCATTAAGGAGTTGAAATAAGACATTCGCCGACTGTAAACGATCGAAAGGGATGAGATACGACCCTTTTTCCCGATTAAAATCTGCTATTGGTAGTTCGTAAAAACGACAACTCACCAGGAATGATGAGGAGTATTCGAAACAAATCAGGGAGAACCATTTCAGTCATCTCGAGGGTTGAGTGTTCATCCGCGGAGAAAATCCAATGATTAAAAAATTATTTCCACCGAGGATTCATTGACTCGAGATAAGCGCATATTTTCAAATCTCAGTCGATGAGATTTTATTAAACATTTATTTATTTCAAATAATTAAATATAAATATTTATGATTTATGCCTTAGAAATTGTAATCGGAATATTTTTTCCGAATTTTCAAAATATTTCTGGAAAATTTTTTAAAAAATTTTATTTTTTGGAAAGGTTTTGAAATATTTTTCAAATTTTTTATAGTTTAGATGGTGTTTTTTTGAGAATATTGAAAAATAAAAAAAGTAAGGAAAAGTAAAAGTTTTCCAGAAATTTTTTGAAAACTTGGAAAAAATATTCCGATTACAATTTTTTTTACCCGGGTATATATATATTATATATTATTTGAAAAATATTTTTTCATATTATATAATTTTGAAAATTCAAATAAAAAAATATATAGATATATTTTGACATGCTTAGCTGCCGAAAAAAGAATGGCGAAAAACGTTACTTGTTTTTTTTAAAAGCGATGGCGAGTCCATTGATGGTGTTGTTGCCAAGTTGGAAGCCCCTTTCATGGTGTACCCCGATATACCGGTAATCCCACGAATAGTGAAGATTGCTCTGATGTTCTGAGACACGATCTAGTCGACGTGACCCGAGGAAATCCCTCGCTTGTGTAACCTCCTGACTTTTTTTATTTCTTTTACAATTCTCCCTAGATCGGTCGCTGAACTTTCGGCACACTTTAACCATCCTTACCCATGACTCGGCATATTCCGAGTTCAACATACTATTTAGGGCTCCATTCTCCTGAAAAATTAATTACCAATTAACTCGTGAAAAAAAAAATTTCATTTCATTACAAACGAATAAAAATAGGAAAAAATTTCCAGATGATATAATTTTGTATACCCAGGTAAAAAAAATTGTAATCAAAATATTTCTTCCAAATTTTCAAATTTTCAACATTTTATTTTGCTTCCCGATTTTGTTTGCTTCATAAAAAAAAAATTCTGAAAAATTTTCCCGAAATTTTTTGCAAATTTGGAAAAAATATTTCGATTACATTTTTTTACGTGGGTATAAACAAGTTTGAGTGGGTCTGGATTTTTATTTCATATTTTCAATGATCCGGTTAATTTACTGATCCACTCCCCCGTGACCGATTAAAAGTGATACAATTCATCGAACCGTCAGGCGTCGGAGAGCAATTGCAAACGGTAGGACAAGACGCACTTGCGTTTCAGTTTCTTATGAACTCCCCTCCCCCAAACCACCTCATCCCACAAGAAGACTACACGTGGATATAAGGGTTAAATGATAGTGGTCACGTATTGCCCGTAACTCTCGTAATGCCTTATTTATAGCACTATCACTTGCTCCTAAATCATGCTGACGTTTAAATGAACGAAATACCGGAGTTAACATCCTAAAACATTTGCCATCATTACTGCCCAGAATAATTCCAGCCAATCACCACAAAAATTGGATTCACCAATACCCATTGAATTTTAATAACCAAATCCGTCAATGAATTAATTAATCTCTAATCCTAAAATTAAATTTCAAACTCGTGATGTTAATTGATGTTAAATTGTTAATTCAATTTAATAAAATTAGTTATTTGTGCTGAAGATATATAAATCGAATGAATTATCTCCGGCGAGATGAAAAATGATAATCATCTCTCCATGAAATTTTCATTTTTAAAGTTCTTAAAATTAAATTCCAAACTCGTGATGTTAATTGATGTTAAATTGTTAATTCAATTTAATAAAATTAGTTATTTGTGCTGAAGATATATAAATCGAATGAATGATCTCCGGCGAGATGAAAAATGATAATCATCTCTCCATGAAATTTTCATTTTTAAAGTCTATAACACATCGTCAATGTCTTGCAATGGCATACCAGATAGATAGTACCTCTGGTTGAAAAACACGAGACAATGCACGACACACCTCTCACGTGTGGATTTATGAACATCAGGGAGAGGTGTGTATGTACACATGAACATTCTGTACATAATCCACGAGTTGGTATTGCCGTTTGTGCCGGGGAAGGTGAACAAACTCCCATGAAAACCTGAACAAGAGAGACTGAATAAGATGCCGCATACATGAACAACTGATTCAACGCGTCTTACTCCTGGTGGAGTGAGTCCAAGTGAATAAAGGCATTCATATTGATTTCACATTATTCCATCAGCCTCTGGTTGCTTCCTCATTCTCTTCTGTACATCGGAAGTCGTTTGATTTCATTTTATTCATCATGTTCTCATTATTTTATTCTCTTCCGCATTCTGGTGCAGATCTCTGGGGGATGAGGTGTCCAGAGGTGCAAAAGGAATCTCATGGGGCATCAACATTTTTGGGTGGCCAATGCTCCCAGTGATGCAACGAATAGCTCATCATTTAGAAAGTGAGATGAGTCATCGCGATGAAAGGGAAATTATAATTATCAATTTGAACTTTTATTTTTGGAATTTGAATCATCGATTTGGATCTCGCGCTTCCCGCGTTAGACAACTAGAATAATTTCATTGGATAAAAATCGGAATGGCATTTTTACTGGATTTTTCCATCGCCAGTTCTTACTGCAATATTTTTGCAATTTACGGGTTTTTACCTAGCAAGCCAGCCACACCACTTATTTACCAATCAATTATCCTCTTTATTTTTTCAAAGACCAGAATCTTCTTGGTTATTTTTTTTTTTATATTTGCAACTATAAACATTCTTGGATTATTCACTGTAACGTACTTCGCAGCCCACGTACCGGGGGGTCTCGGAGAGGCGAAAAAAAAAAGAATGGACAGAAGTAAAATAAAAATACGGGGGAGACAGAATGGTTGGGAAGGAGGAATTATATTACGGGACTGGCGATTCAAAGGGGCGAACACATGGTGGTCACATTAATTTATGAATATTGCGTGACGGACTGCTGTGGCTTCTTGGAAGTGATATTCCGAGGGAGAAATAAAATTCATACCCCAACTGCATCTTAAGCCGCCCCTTCTATCAAATCTAAAAACGTCAGTGGAATCTACTCGGGGAAAAAAAAAATTGTAATCGGAACATTTTTTCCAAATTTTCAAAAAATTTCGGGAAAACTTTTCAGAAATTTTTCAAAAATTTTAATAGGAATTTTTTTTTTTTTATTATTTGAATGGCGTATTTTTTGAGAATATTGAAAAATTCAAAAAGTAAGAAAACAAGAGTATAATTTAAAAAAATTATAAATTTTCTGAAAAGTTTTCCAGAAATTTTTTGAAAATTTGGAAAAAATATTCTGATTACAATTTTTTTACCCGGGTACTGAATGTTGTTGAAAATTTTGAATAATAATGATTCTCGTTAATCTTAAACAAATATTACAAAATTATGAATTTTTATATATGAATTTTTTAACAATTTTCCACCTGAAATTTTGATCTCCAGATTTTTCCTGCCGGTGTTTTTCCTCTGGTGCACGAATGCTTCCCCGGAGAGTGACTTCGAGACAGTGCGCACAAGCAACGCGGCAATTTTAAATCGTCTTGGTCTTGTGCCCCTGGAGATACCAGACGGTCACCACAAGAAGCGTCTAGCTGGTCCAGAGCCACCAGAATTATCCCACCCCCAGACACGCTTGCACCAGCCTTACAGCCGTCGTCATGGCCATCGCGACAGTCACGTGTACGTCGTGAAATTACCAGCGAGTCCGCCGTACTACACGATCACAAAGCCCCACAAGTCACCACCAAAAGATGATAAACTATCAAGTAAAATGGCAACGAGTATAAACGGCCTGAGCCCAAGTGTTGTCCATCAATCATCGTCCGTTGGTTTCCACAGCAATGGCAAACCAGCAAAGATATACCACTGGAATCTCCCAGTCATGAAGAAAATCGGCGAGAAGAAACGATTGCACGCCCAATTCCGAATGGATCAGCTGAGAAAGAAATTGGCATCTGAAAAAATTATGGAGACCAACAAATTACTCAGACATAATAACTCTCTCAATGTCCCCATGAAGCTCCTGAAGAGTGATGACAACCTCAACCGATTATCCAGCAACAGTCTTCCCAATCAATCACCGATCAAGCACACGAGAAATAATGACAAAATTTTGAATTATCCTGATGAATCTAGTCGTGCTAATGGTATTGTTGACAAGATTAATGGAACACACAAGATGTTCAGACTTGAGGATTCAATGCTTTATCATCTCGCTGATAACTCGAAGGATCGTCTTAACACCTGGATCTCCAATGATCTTCATGGAATGAAAACCAGTGGTTTACAGAAACCGAAAAAACACCGGAAGAAGGCAGCCATGTCCTACTATGCACCCATCACGGCTAAAACCGGCTCAACGAGCATCCACAAGAACTTCCCCGGGAACGGGAAGCCCAAAGCCTTCTACGTTATGGAGAAGAGCCGTAAACCAGTTTACTATCATCCCCTCCTACCGTAATTCGATTGAGTCTTAATCGAGGGGAGAAACGAATAGCGAGGGGGGGTATATCATTTTACGACTGATGACTTATTACATTTGTTTTTTTTTTTCGAGTCTTATGATAATGACTGAGAGAGAAAGAGACTTGACAACTTTTTCAACGAAACAATTCTTCAGGTCTTCGATTTTTCAGGTTTTCAGGTTTTCAGATTTCCAGGCCCTCGGGACGATTTTTTTTTTATTTTTCTTTTTTTTGAAAAACTTCCGCCAAATTTTTTTCGACGATTTTATTTCAATTCGTTTAGGTATTCATTTAAGTCTGGCTCAATGTATCATTGCAATGAGATACAAATCTCGGTACATCTGTTAATCCAAATGAATTGCTCGTCGTAACTCACGGCAATTTATTTATAAATCGCACGCCACGGGATAATATTCGTGGTGTGATTACAATAATAGGCATTGTATAGTTAATTCCTCGACTGTTGGGACTCTTTTTGAGGCCCAATGGTCTTTTTTTTTCTACCGTGAGATTTTCTTATCCAACGATTTGTAGATGACAGATGAATTTAAATTTTTATAGAATTTATTGATAATAATTTTTTGACGGGATTAAATCCACATTTTTACAAGTATTTTACACAATCATGATTTTATTGATAATTCTTTATAATTGTAAGAAAAATTCCAAACTTTTGTATTCGTATACATGAACGTAATATGTAAGTGTTAGTCGTAAGTTGAATGAACAATGTAGCCAATAAAATATTTATAATTCTTTGTATGTGGTGATTTATTACTCTGGGATCGATGCGTGATTATCGATTATTAAAATTATTATTACATAAATATATTGTCTTTATATTCGGAATTTTTTCACATTTCCAGGATTTTCCAAAAATTTCGAAAAAATCAATGAAAAAAAATTATGACGAAAGGGAAAAAATTATTTGAATCATTGAATTTTGAAGGAAATAAAATAATAATTGCATTCGCACTGATTTAGTCTTTTGTTGCAGAATCTCAACCACTAGTTGAGGATAAATATGGGCGTGCCAACTTGCATTATTCACCATCACTGAGGTGTTGAATGAGTTACGGTAATGACTGTTATTCCCCATCATCGTAATAATCGCAATTACAGTCACAATATCCTGCTCGATGGCTCTCACTCTTGAAACGTTACACTTTTACAAGTTCAAAGTACGTGAGCAATTTCATTCGTCCTTGTCTCATTTGTAAAAAATAAAACGCGATGGAATCGGTCGACCGGACTAAACCGAGAGTAATTGCCCTTTCAGAAATCTCTCGAGGATTTTATTTCTCCCATTATTTCTCTCCTACATCTCGTCGTATCCTAAACCTACAAAGCCGGACATTTTTTTCTCCTCGAGTTCTCTGTCGTTTCAATATTTACACTAAAATTCTAAAGATACGAGGGAATATAGATACCGTAATAAAACGATGATAGATTTATCAAAAAAGTCTTGCTTCCACCAAGTGAATCATTTGATAACCCGGGTAAAAAATTTTTTTTCCAAATTTTCAAAACATTTTTCGAAAACCTTGCGGAAAATTTTTCTTTTGAAACAAAAAAAAATCGGGAGACTTAAAGATTTTTTTTTGAAAATGTTTTGAACAATTTTTCAAAAATTTGTGTCGGAAAATGTTTTTTAGAATTTTCTAGAAACTTTACTGTTGTTTTCTTCCTTTTTTGATTTTTCAATATTCTCAAAAAATTCGCCATCTGAATTATAAAAAAAATTCTCCTATTGCAATTTTTGAAAAATTTTTCAAAACCTTTTCCAAAAATAAAATTGTTTTGTTTCCCATTTTCTGAAGAGTTTTCCAGAGATTTTTTGAAAATTAGGAAAAAATATTCCGATTACAATTTTTTTTACCCGGAAAGGAGAAAAAAAAATACAAAATTTTTGGGCCTCTCTCATATTTAACTCCCGCTTCTCAAATTCTCTGCTATCCAACAATCACAGATAAAAATTAATTCTTAAACGAAATAATAATAATAACATGACAGCGATCGTATAACTTACAGGGAAAATATTTCTCGATAGACTTGACTCTATAAAAGATCCTCAAATCCTGAAAAGAATGCATTCTCACCAGAAGATATGTCCGGCTGAGCAAGACTTGTTTGACAACTCATGAATTTTCCCCTCGCACTAAAAAAAAAAAATCCTGACTCCAAAAATGTCTCAAATCCTTACAAGACTTAACTAACCAAAATATTTGAGCAAAAGTCATTTGCTAATTGTCAATTTCAATCACACATTACACCTTCCCCACAGGAGAATATTGCGTCCAAAAATAATCACTGGTTGAAGGAATCGAGAAAGTGACATATTCCTCACTCAAATATTATTCTTTAAACACCTGTCCAAGTTGCACAGATTTTCTAGATGCGGTGAATCATCAAACGAGAACGAGTCATTCGTCGAAGAGAGTTTGGCATGCATCGTTCAAGGACACTGACGGATAAGTTGCCAGAACAAGTTGCTAGCCACTCGAGAGAATCACCAACACAGTCACGCACACATGATTTTCACGTAGGAAAATACTGAAGGAATTCCCCAGCTGATTCCATCTCCAAATTAATAGATATTATTGCTATCGACATCGGAGTAGATGATGGGCTGTCTCCTGGTCTGTTCTCCATTGGGTCCAAGAATATAAAGACTCATAGGTCGACCATTGAATGTGTAAGGTCCTTTTCTGAGTTTAGAGGGAGTTGTATCCTTCCTCTTGGACGGTTTCCTGGGGTTATCATATTGATAAACCCCCGTCGGCTTTCCATTGCTGACAAAATCAATGGGCAGATTGATAACTGAATTCTGGGGACGACGTCTTCCGGGCTTTTGACTCGTCTGAGGTAGCGATGATGATGTGAATTTTGGGGGATTTGAGATGTACCCCATACCTGGTACGAAGAAATAGGGCGAAGGTGGCAAACGAATGTAGAAAATTTTGCTGTCCTGGTATTTTTTTCTGTGTCCTGGGGATCTCTCCTCAATCACGTCGTATTCGAGTGGAGATGGAGTGGGAGACGAGTGTTTATTGATTTGGGGTGTATAAGGGTAGTTGAGGAAGAAGGCCTTGTGCATTCGACCCTTCTTTGTGGTTGGCCAATTCTTATCGTGGAGATGTACCTCAGGATCATCTGGCTCTTCTGATTTTTTTCCACTTTCCAATCTCTTTGTAAGCCTCTTTGGTGAATCCACGTCGTTCGATCCATCGGACGTTGAACTTTTCGATACTGGCATTGCAGTCACTGATACTATTATCACCAGAAGTAGCAGCAGTGACGTCATTTTAATTATCTGGAATGAGAATCAAGATGGGGGGTTAATTTGGATGGGGTGAATTGTCGCAGATGTCAGGGAATTGTAATTTCAAAATTCTCATCCCCATGAACCGCTTGAACATTTTTTTTTTCATTCATTCTCAATCACTCGATAATACCGCAGGGTACGTTTCCTTGGTCACCCCGGAGTAATTCGCGCAATGCTAATATTTATAATTCGGTCTTATTGTTGTGTTACGAGTCCTTCGGATAAGAGGGTACTTCCAGGGGAATTGTTCAGGGGTTCTGCTGCCTGGGGGATGGGAAAAAATACAATCCGCTTTCTGCACTGAGAGAAGTATTCCGTAATAAAACCCCAAGTGTTTGAAAATAATCTGGTTAAATCGCAGAGTGAGATTTTCCTGGAAAAATTGATTTTTCATGAGTAAAAAATTCAGTGGAAAACTTTATTGATTTACCAGAAGTGATTCAGTTTAGAGTGCAATCTGCTGATTGTTATAAAATTGTTATTTATTTAATGGATAAGGATAGGAGGATCTACCTATGCCATCTATGAATCCCGGGGATTCCCAGATCTGGTGAAATCGTCATACGGTACAACAGATCGCACGTTTCACGACCGATAATAAATATCCAGGGAGTGATCGGCACCGGTACTTTTTCAAAATCCCCGTTGGAATTCCAGATATTTCTCTGATTAAATGACAATTGTACACCTAGTCATCTTTCATGGGTTTCCAAACGGGAATTTTACACTTGAACGTGTAAGAATTCACGGACACCCCCGTCATTCCACTTAATTCAATCAATAGAAATACCGACGTGACAAGAGAAGCCGTTAATAAAAAAAAGGCATGAACGTACACAACCTGTGGATTTTAAAAGGCAAACGTTCATCTTTCCCGTAACCACCTGCATCTATTGTTGAACAAAGAGGAGTAAAAAAATATAAAGAATGTGTCTTCATTTACAGTCGAAACGAGACCGACAAAAGGCATTTGGAGGTGTATTATCTCCATCCCTCAACCGTGAGAATGAAAAACATTTGAAATAAAAATAGAAATGAAATATGGAGATGACTGAACGTTTTAGTCCCGAATTTACAGCTGGATAAACCCGCGAGGGTTATCTAATGAAGGATTAATTGAGTGTGAAACACTTCCTCTCGCGTTAGAACTGAAAAAAATCTCGCAATTCATCCGAAGAAATTGAGCCGATGTTTTAATCCAAAAAATTCATCAGGTACTTTTATTAATTAATGTCAGTCGTCAAGATTAAATCTCATCGTGATACCCACCGTTTTGTTTCAGACTCGCGTGTCAATTCGCGAGACAAAACCTTCAGTGAATCATAAATAAATAAAATCCACTAATTAATGTTGCGTGCAACTATTTTTTATTATTTTCTACCGTGATAGGAGTGAAAATGGATTCTGTAATGAAAATAAAATGAAATAGGGAGATGATTTTTGAATAATTTGAGAAAAAAAAAATGAGGGAGCCTACAGCCCTTGAATAATTTAAAATCAAGTCCAGTACAAATATACTCATTGAAGTTAAACTGTGACTGGATGTTCGTGAAGAGCAAGTATCGCCTACGATCTTCATTGCTGGACCCCCAAGTATTCTCACATATACTTCACAGAGTAGTCGGTTATACTGGCCATAAAGTACACAATTCTTCGACGCGTGTTATTTAAGAATTTATTTACATGACAGCCGGCGTTTACTCGCTGGGAGGTTTACTATTTGTATTACAACGTCACGAGGAAGTGAAACTCTAACCGGGCAAGCGCAGGGGAGACCCGTTTGTTATAAAGACGAGGCGTGCGAAAATTTGAACGACTGGCGGGAGAAAAAAAAAATTATTTCACCAAAAATTCAGTGATGCCCCAAAAACGTAATCATAATCCAGTATTTACCGATTATTTTTTTATAGTCAAACGAGAGTGAAAAATTTTCAGTTGCAAGGATAAGGATAGGATGAAACCATATTTTTTTTTCACGCGGCGGATTTCGGGAGAAATATTTAATATATTTTATAATTCAGTAGGAAAATATTTTTTTTTTTCTGAGGGTTATGGAGGAAGAAGCTTCTTCGCGGCGCCTGTGGTGTAAACACAAGGGGAATTTTACAAGGAAGAAGAGATACGGATGATCGAGGAGGATACCTTGTTATTGCACCTAGGAACGCACGATCTTCGTGCTATTAATTGGCTGGATCTGGTGATAATGCATGGGACCTTAATCGTGAATTCCATTCATCGATTAATTAAGAATAATTATTTTTTATCCACAATATGAATTTAGCGGTGTACCGCAGAACATTGCGAATGAATTCCAAGAAGTTTTCGTCTTTACGGTTTTCCCTTGACCGCTGAAATTTCAATTAATTAATTAATTCCATTGATAATAAATAAAATTGATGATTTTTATGAAGAGGTTGTAGAATCACTTGTTTTTTTTTTTCAGTTATCTGGAATTTCTGGTAAAAAGTTGAGAGCAGCTTTCTCCCTCGATAAAATGCGCTCATGATCTATCATTATGGAATTTATATGCAAATTTATATCATAAGATGGAAAAATTATTTCACGTCAACTACAGCATCCGGCGGAAGTGACGCGACTCTCGATTCACATTGCGTAATAATGTGCAATTAATTATAATTGCGGAAATATTATCGAATCGAAGGACAAGATAAGGTACGGTATTTTTTTTTTTTTTTATACAAAAGATGGTGATGCGTAGTGTTTTCCCAGGGCGGTCAGCCAACCGCGTTACGGACTTCGTTAGTCTTTCAGAAATACCCGCAGCGCTTACCGAATAACGTTTACACCATCGTCGCACACTTTATACGGAATACCAACGACATTGTCACGTTATTCTGTCCTGCTTGAGGTAGGTAATTATAAATTGAGAAAAAAATTCACGTCTGCATCGATCAATCTTTTTATTTGGACACGTCGTGTTTCTATTCAGGGCGAGCCAATACTTCAAGAGGCTTTCAGAATGGAAAAAAATGGCAGAAATCGTGAAATGATGGTTAAAAAAATTGTTCACTCTGTAGAAGCAGGATAAAACGATTTTCGTGGGGTTTGGTAATGAGAATTATTTTTAATGAATATTCAAAAACGCGAGGTGACGGACGGATGCATCCGCTGCCATCTTGTGTCCCTCTAGGGCTCATGCTGAGGTCTCAGAAGATGGCCGGGGCTTGAATTTTTAAACAAGATGGTCGTGATAGAAAAATATCTTCTTCAGGTTCCTGCGGATAAAATTATCAGGCATTCTCCACAGGGAATTTTCTAAGGTGTCAGCGAAGATTTTAAAAGATGAGCGGATCATTCAGATGACGATGGATTATTATGCGCGAGAGTTTTTGTTCTCACGTACTTTCTTATAAGATTAACAATCCAAGTGTAGCAACATCTCAATTATTCTCTTCTTCATGACGACAAGTCATTTTCACTCTACTATTAATCATGATACACCTTTCACTGCTGAAATCAAGCGAAGGGAGACAAATTGTCTGGCGTGTGTAGCAGTCATTAACCGCGAGCAAAATTTGTTTTCAATCCTCAATTCTTTCACATCGCTGAGATAATGATTATTGAAAATATGGATAAAAAAAAAAAAAAGAATTGAGTGGATGAGTCGTGTCGATTTCTCAGATATTATTTACGGTATCCACCTAGATACCAGACATTGTTATATAATGACCGTATGAAATGCTGATGGGAGCACTTGCTAGCAATGAAATGGGAGTGAAGAAGTATCAGAAAAAAAGTCGCATGCCTCTTAGGGTATAATAGCCGTTCCATCTTCTCCATTTTTGCCAATTTTTTTTATTACCTCCGTGGACTCACGACACAGGAGGAAATGCCACTGATAGTCACGACAAATATTTACGACCTTGAATGGTCACTCGAACGATCTATGAAAAAAAATATTGCTTGACAATTGCACAATGGGGAAAAATTAATTATTTTATCCGAGATTCCTCAATGTTAATTATTGATCACCTAGTCATAATTACCATGAGTATTTTTTACACCAATCGCGTTATAATTATAATAATTAATGTTTATTGTTAATTAAAAATTAATTATAATTATGGAATAATTGAAGATGAAGTGTTTCCGTCGAAATTATTTTTTTTCATCGAGTAGTTCTCATGTCCGAAGGCTGTCGGGACTGAAAAATTAATGAACGTTAAACGTCACGGCATTGGAAATTATCACACCGAAAGAACCAGTTCTAAAAATAGTAAAGGATATGTTGATGGATGAGAGAGATGAGATTGGCAGACGTCCAAGCAAGAAGATGGACAGTGAAATGGTGAAATGTACGTGAAATGTACGTATAAAATGCCGAGTGAAATTTTATCATGGGAATTTTCTCCGCAATCCCACCGTGTGCAGAAAACATAAAACAAATAAAAAAAAAAAACAATGAGATAAAAAAAACTGATTTAAATTAAAATACTCGTTTTCTCTCATGGTTTTCATCTCCGGGAGATCCCGCGGATAAATACGACGAATGATTATTCGGTATGTGCGATTGGAAAGCTGAACAGCTTTCCGGCTGAAATAATTTACTTTGATGGATCATTCTATCAACAATCCACAGGTTCGACATTGATTTCCATCCGGAATTCAATGTGAAGGACTTACTAAATCCTGAAGAAATCCTCGCACTGGATTTTCATTAAAAAAAAATCAGTGAAAAATCAGTGAGTAAAAATATTTTTATCTGACCGAAAAAGGGCGTGAGATAAATAAATCCAGTCCGATAAACATTTCAATTAAACCAATAAATTATCATCCCCACGACTTGCGACCCACATATAACTCGGAAACCGTAACTAATCCACGTGGTAGCATCCACCTCTCAACAAATTATATTTGGTATCTGAGACAGTCGATGGAAATTGCAAAGCGATAGCTCAGCATCTGGACGTGTATATCGTTGAAAGATATAATGAGGCGGTGATTCAGGTAAAGGCCGGCCATTCACCACCGATAATTCATGAATATATAACGCCCAACAGGTAATAATGCTCCATCAAGACTGAAATAATCCCCAGGAGTCAGAAAAATTTCCATTTACCCCAGATCAATCGGAAATTTCGTCACTCGCATCAGTCCAATCACCAAATTACCCGTACGTAATTACTTGTCAACTGAATATACTCAATATTCAGATAATAATCCAGAAAATCTGTACTAATTGTCAGTTGCAATATTTTTTTCACTGTGTTTTTGTTAATGAAGGAATTAATTAATGGTTTAATGCTGTTTTTTCGTCGTTTAGAATTGGATAAATGCTCGAGTTGTATTTGCCACTTTGGATATCCTTAATTGCGCTTTGCCGAGGGTCCTTATTAGTCTTGAGAGTCCACAGAGAATGGCAGAGATAAGAATGACACTTCAGTCAACAGCGAAAAGACTTCATCAGCGTCTGTTCAAAGTTACGAAGTCACTTAACGAGACTACACATGCCTTCACCTTCTTCAGCACTTGAAAACGTCCAATAATCCGACACCCGGTTGCACTCGTTACCAAATGCCGTTTTACCATGTGTCAAAATGATTTATTAATGTCAATTATTTTTCCATTCAATTATTACGGATTACGTACTGGTAAAAATTCTGGAGAAACTGAACGGAAATTCCCTAGTCTAAGGAAACAATTTTATTCCGCGAAATATAGTCTATTGAATATATTAAGACCTATAGAATTTTTTAAATTGTTAAATAATAATTATGGTGTACCGTTTTTTTTTTTTTTGTTCGGGGCAGTCGTGAATTTTTTCACTGGCTCACAATAGGTGAATATTATTTTATCAGATCATCGGGAATGATAGACGATCTACTTTTTGACGGAGAAAGTTTTTCCTCGATCATATCAAAGACCAAGTGCTCTGTGATGTTATCACAACTAGATCAGGTAGTCCTGAAAATTCTCAGAAGTGTTGGTTTCTTCCGACATCTCACTCGCAACTGATAAGAATTTAAAAAGAATTCTTTCCCACAATTAAAAGGGTTGTTCCACTTATGATTTTTCTGGCAACTTTTTTTTTCACACAGTAAAAAAACCTGCACGCCAGATTTTTTACCTCGCTAACACGTACGAATTTTATTTAATTCCGGAGTACCACTTTGATATACCGCGTGTGTCCCAGAATTTTTTTATGAACTTCTGATTCTGAGAATTTGGGGAATATGATCATAAGTTTTAAGCGAGTGCATCTGCATGGAGGAAATTATTCCCGAAAAATTACGGGTCTTTTCCGTAATTCCGGAATGAAATGCAAAATTTTTCGGAAGTGTCACATAATTTTTATGTGAATTACATGTGAAAAATTATGATAAAAAAATTTTTCAGTCGATTCAGTAATAATTTTTAATATAAATAAAAAAAATCCGGAATAATCTGCCATTTCGAGTTGAATCTATCAACATCGCGAAACCGTCACTGAAAAATTAAAACCGGAAGTGATATGATCTATAAATGCCACAAAACGGTATAGCCTGTCGTCCTCGAGCATCCGGTACTGACTCCCCAACCCATACCCCATACCACGTACCACAAGTGCGTGAAAACTGCCAATTACCTATAATTACAAAAATATTTTCTGCAATGACACACACCTGATCGCCAAGACCACCAATAAGCAAGTCCCTGGACTCCCTCAGCTCGCCAGAATTCCAGCTTTATCACATAACATAAACACCACAAAATAAATAAACAATCCCAATAGAATTTGTCAATAAATAAAAATTATAAACCAAATCAAAAAAATTACCCACTATTAACCAATTAAAAAAAATTACCCTATTAACCAAATTAAAAAAATAAAACAAATTAATAATCCCGAACGACCGAACTAAGACATTTAAACTGGAAATTTGGGCGCGAGATTTTGTGACGAGTGAATTGATTGGGTGGAAAATTTTTAAATAAAATCATCTCAACTGGATGGAATACCAACAGCTATCAGAATGAAGGCTTTTCTTAAGGATGTCCCGTTCTTATGCGGTGTTCCCCACTACCGGGTTTACGTTTTGTAGTGGCGGAGCGGAATCTTCGCGCTCTTCGCGTCTTTAGGTATAAGAACACTCCCTGCGTCTCACTTGAGTCGGAACCAACGTTACGTTGGCTTTTTAACCAAAAGATTTCACACGGGCATTTCACGGCTGCTCGCCTTTCAATTTTCACACCACCCGCGGATTACCCCCTTTTTTCACCCCTCTCTCCCCCCATTACCCCCTTTTTTTTTCCTGTAGATGCACACATAGTTTTCCCATAATTTTCGTACGTCTAATGAGTCGAGGAGGAAAATTATATTATTTCGGCTCCCTCGGGCCGGTCTGGAATAATTATTAAATTTTATTTCAATGTTATTGGTTTTTTTTTTATCATTTTATATTATTTATTGGTGGCGGTCGTTTTGGCTTTTGTTGCGGCTTTGAATTAATTTTTTTTATGATTCATTTGATTTGATATAATTATTTGGATAAAGGAGTGAGGAATTAATTAATGAAGAAATTATTAATGTTGTGGTAATTTCAATGTTTTCGGTAGCGAATTAATTCTGAAAATAGAGTAATGGCGTTTGATGACGGTAATTACCACAATAATTCTCGAATCGATGGTATCAAAATGGAGGTGAGATTCTCCCCTTGATTTGATCAACAAAATACCTCTCTCCGGAATAGTTAATTACTCCAATCAGATAAATCCCGATAGAATCGAGATTATGCCCCAGGATTCCCTCGGATTTTCAAACGCCGAAATTCCAACTCGAGAGAATGAAAGAAATCGCATTTTTCCATCGAAACTCATTAGAAAGTGCAAAAAAATTTTCAATGTACGAGGGAAAAGTGGATGAAAGCGGGATTTCCGGTGGTGACCCTTCCCATATCAGAAAGTTATATTCCCATTTATTTTAAAATGCCAGATAATTATCTCGTGGAATTATTCTAATTGGACTCAATATCTGCTTCACTCGCACTGATTTTAAATAAAAAAATGGATAACATTAGGAATAGATTTATTCCCCGATTCTGTGAGACACTCGAGTTTTCTCTTCTTTCTGGTAAAAGAGGTCTAGTTCACCATGACCGTTGCACCAGATCGTCAAGAATGTTAGGACCGTTTTAATGAAATTCAGGTACTCTGTTCCGCCCGTGAATATCTTCTTTCAGTGATGTTTGTTAAAATGGCGATATAAATTTGTATTTGCGTCTTTCATGATGAATTTATACGGAATTACTCCGAGAGTAAATAATTAACAGTGGGAAAAGTACGCCAGTGGGAAAAATCCAGTTCACAATGCAATATTTGCACTGAAAAAAATTGGTAATTAGAATTGGAAATTACCCTCGACGATTCGAGTAAATAACCCGTTGATTTATTGAATAATAATAATTAATTCGATTTGTTCAAATGATTTAATAGATGATTCATTGAATTATTACTTTTTTTTTCATGGAGAGAGTTAAATAAAATTATGTTAAATAAATTATAAAAATGTCTCGTTCAGTAAATCGCACTTTTAAATAATTTATTACTTGAAAAACGAACTGAATCCGGAGAATGATTGCGATTCCGAGTGTAATCGAGATTTCTAGAAATTTTTTAGCCATTTCAAATGATCCCTGAATTTACCGTAAGTGTAGAGCTACTTTAATTGCGTGTCAAGATTCACTAAAAGAATTACCCACACAAGTAGAAATTCATCGACAACCGATCGTTCCACCGATTTCTCCCCAAAGCTGAAAACCAAGAGAAAAATTGAAAATTCAGTAAAATGAAGTAAAACAAATAAATGAACAAATAAATGAACAAATAAATAAATTTAATTCTGTTGTATTTATTTTTGAAAAATCATCCGATCCGTTAGGCCGTCGATTTTGACTGAGGGAATTTAAATATTTGAAAGGAAATTTTAAAAATCATGTGGCATTTTCATCTTCGACCCTGTGAGACGCGTACCGTTCGATCTATCGAGTCATAACAGACGGATGGACATATGTAAAGGCGTCAGTATATATGTGAGAGGGTATCTAACACGGAAGATGAAAAGAATAAATAATGTCCGTCCACTCCTTTCAATTTCATATGAGCAGGTCAATGATTCCAAGTCTCGTCATTCAGATTAATCATCATTCATGTTATTCATCGATTTATTGGTGTTAACGACCTCATTAATTAATTAATGCAATTTTTAATGGTGCACTGGGGGAAAAAAATGTTAATAAATGTCAATGAAAATTCTGGGGATTTTCACAATTATTTATAAATAATGCACGACGTGAAAAAATTTATCGATTGGAGGACTGAAAATGGAGACTTTCACTGCAACGAAATAGAATGGAAGACAAATCGTTTAGTCATCCCGATTCTCATCAGCTCCAATCAATGGGTCATGTTTACGAATCGGGACGAAACGTCATGGCCACATTTATCACAAGAAAACACCTGCATTCTCATTACGTAAAAGATACATCTGTAATGGGGGAATGAGAAGATAATTAATTGAACTCTGCGGTGGGATTTAACGAGTGGAATTTAATATTGATCATGCCAGAGAATAATTTAAATAATTTTATCACAATGTTAATCGTAATCATCATGAAAGTCAATGATAACGAATTAATCAATTAGCGAAATTAATTCTCGAATGTAGATTGTTTTTCAATTAAATTCACGTTGAATCAGGAATTGTCTGGTTCATTCAATTTAATTACTCCGCAATTGAACTAATTCCCAACGAATTTAGGAGTGAATTATGTCGAGTCAATGTTAATTCCATTTAAAACCATTACTCCGACTTTTTGCGACAGAAGTTGAAAATTAAGTGTGAGAATTCGTCAGCGGTAAAATGACAATTGACTTCCGCTGTTCACCCCCATAAACCATTTTTTAAATCTGTTAAACAATCCGATTGAACGGAGATGTAAAATTATGATGGAGAAATTATCCAATTTGGTTATCAGGTAAAAAGTTGGGTAACAATTACCGAAAAAAAAAAGTTGAATTAGCATAACGTGTGGCCGAGTTAACGGAATTCACTGGAGTACAAGGGAAAAAATTGTGGTTGTAAAAAAATAACATGCAAAAAAATCATATATAAGTGTATCATATTCCTTTGCTTACTTTCGGAAACGGTACCTACCGCATTTAAAGCGGTATATTCGTGGGATAGAAAGGCTCTGATTAACTCTAAATAAAATTACACACGTAATATATATCATTCGACGATTTTTGCCGAGAGTTTTTTGTGGATCGAAGTCATTTCATCATTTTTTGCAAGACTGGAATTTTCGGTTGCATTCCATCTGCAGAGATGGATATACAATTCAATGAATAACAATTAATTAATTATTCATTAATATTATTGTTGTATCTCTGGAATTATTCTCCGATTTTTGTATTGGAAATTTTTTTTGAAAAAGAAAAAATATCGGACTTGAAAAAATACTGCCTTCCCAAAAAAATTTAAAAATTCCCGCGTCCCAGGGATTACACATCGCGCGCAGGCTTAGAAATTTCTTGAAATATCGATAATAATTTTCCACCCGTAGAGTATCGCAATTGCAATAAAATATTTATTAAAAAATTTTTTTTTCACCGTCCACCGGTCATTCCAAGCACCAATTATATTTTTAATAAAAAAAAAAGGAACGAATGCAACAAAGAATAAAAAAGACTGGACGCCATTTTGGATACTTTCCCGCAAAAATGTCCGATTCTGTCATGGAAATATTGATGGACACTATTTCATCATTTCCATTTGTCTGATCTGTCTTATCGGACGTTTGGAGAAAAAGTGTGAGTGATAATTTATCTTGATGTGTGTATTGAGAAGTTAGAGTTGTTTGCACGTGATTTAACTCGGAGTTGGGCAAGTAATTATTGCTAATCGACTGGATAATAATCCATAATAATAATACACAAATTTTCAATTTTTTCGACTACTTCAATTGTCACGGAAATAAAATTCCTTTCAATCCTGACACTCAATCCTTTTTAAATAAATATTCCGATGCATTTTGAGTCCCTCCAATCAATCAATTTATTCATGACTTATAAATATTCAATTTCAATCATTACTTGTACCCATTTTACCCCACCTCCTGCCATATGCCGAGTACTCGTATTTAGTGGAATTCTTTAATTATTCAGGGTTAATTATGTGGGTCAGATGAAATTCTTTCTCGATTTTCTCGTTTATAATCGCTGGATTCGAGTTAAATGATAATTCGACTTCAATTCCTGTCTATTCAGTTTTCACTGAATTTTATTTCAAGTGAATTACCATAAACTTCAGTAACTAGAGCTGATTGCGTGATACCGATAATTAATTGTTATCAATCCGTGATTTATAATTGATACTAAGTGACAATTGAAAACAAAAAAATCCAAAAAATCCGGGAGGATCTTCTAAAAATTATTTATCCCACCAAAATCTCATTGAATAACATTTCTAAATATAAACCCCCGTATTTTTATTTCTGTTTCTATATTTTGTTTACAGTCAACAAGATGGCAAAGCAAGAGGTGCCAGCACCGTCCCAGAAATTTAAACTAGTCCCAAAAATAGTTAATGGAGGAATAGCGGGAATTATTGGGGTTTCAGTGGTTTTTCCCCTGGATTTGGTAAAAACCAGACTCCAGAATCAGGTGATTGGGCCCAAGGGAGAGAGAATGTACACCTCAATGTGAGCTACCAGTGATCCATAAGCCTTCCTAATTATTGGACATTTAATTGTTTTTTAATTTTTCCTCAGGTTCGATTGTTTCAAAAAAACGTACAAGGCTGAGGGCTACTTTGGGATGTACAAGGGATCAGGTGTCAATATTCTATTGATCACCCCAGAGAAGGCCATCAAATTAACTGCCAATGACATGTTCAGGCATTATTTATCTCCTGGCCCCGGGTAAATGCTCGTTAAACAACGTCAACAATTTTTTCAATTAATTATCAAAATCAGAAACGATTGATTTCAATTATTTAGTCAACCACTGCCACTGGAACGTGAAATGCTAGCCGGAGGATCAGCTGGTGCTTGTCAAATTGTGATAACAACTCCCATGGAGCTTTTAAAAATTCAAATGCAAGATGCTGGTCGTGTTGCAGCTGCAGCAAAATCTGGTAAAACCAGTCCCAGTAATTAATTCAATTTCTAACCGAGATATCTTATTGGGTTGAATGAATAAATTTTATTTCAGCTGGGAAAACAGTTCCAAAAATATCAGCCTGGTCATTAACCCAGGATTTGTTTAAAAAACGTGGAATTATGGGACTTTATCAGGGGACTGGTGCCACTGCCCTCAGAGATGTCACATTCTCTGTTATTTATTTTCCATTATTCGCACGATTGAATGATCTAGGCCCAAAACGTGAAGATGGATCTTGTAAGTATTCAATAATTAATTGCACCATTCAATAATTCATTCCAATTGAACTGACAATTTTTTCAGCTGTATTTTGGTGTTCATTCTTGGCTGGATGCACAGCAGGTTCCACTGCTGCATTATTAGTCAATCCGTTCGATGTAATTAAAACTAGATTACAAGCTATAAACAAAGCTCCTGGTGAGCCGACGTACAATGGAGTGTTGGATTGTATCCTGTGAGTATTTGGTTCTTGAAAAAAAATTTAATTCATCCATAATTCAATTGTCGATTGATTTTATTTTCAGGACAACGATGAAAAATGAAGGGCCAACAGCATTTTTCAAGGGTGGGGCATGTCGTATGATCGTGATAGCCCCATTATTTGGGATAGCACAGACTGTTTACTACCTCGGTGTCGCTGAAAATCTCCTAGGGATTAAATAAATAAATCAAATCAGCCAGCAGTATTGAATAATTCTCAAACAATCTTGACAATAATGAATATAATACAGTTAACTAGAGACAGTTTATTTTAATGAATGTATATTCGATGGGTCAGTGCTCCAAGGAAATAGTCTTCGTTCTCATTTTGAGATTTCATGCCATCATTAGCCTATTTGAAAATGGCTCTCATTATTTTTGTTTCAGGGAAATTATCTGTTAGTTTCTAGTCAATTCTATATTTTTCATTATTCTATTTTTTAGGTGTTTTTCAGATTTTTTGAAATCATTATTTTTTTATGATGCTGGAGGTGAGAGTTCAACGATTTTATTCATGTGATAATTCAGGCATTATTTCGCTGGAATTGGAGGGACAGTGAATTTTGTTTAACGAGATATTTGTGTAGAAAATAGAGGGAGTCGACTGAATTTATTCGAGAATCTGTAAACGTCCAACGGAATTCGCTGTTGAAACTTTTAGATGATTAAGCTATACCTGGAATTCTCTTAACGTTTAAAATGTGTCAATTGAATTGATAAATATTGATTAATGAGCAATCGAAAGTCAAGAATTTATTGAGAGCATTTCCTGAATTCCTTTTCACTTGTTTTTTTTTTTCGCAGATGTCATAAATAAATAAAAACATCAAATTTCCAGCGCGTGAGAGCACAAGTGGTTCAGTTAATTATTTTCGTCAATTAAAATCATGGATTTTTCGAATATCCCGCCAAAAATTGATAATAAGCCGCCAAAATTGAAACTAGAAAATTACTACAAACCTCGATTGCTCAAGGAGGAAGCGAAACGAGTCCTTGCAATCGATACGGAGAACATGGAGATATTAAAAAGAATTCATATCATCAACCAAACAAAAGTGAGAAAAATATTTGACTACTGAAGTATCAAAATCAATTAATATCTCCGGAACTGAAACAAATAGACAAATTTGTGTCATAACTTTTTGGTAGCTCTTGATTATCTCTACGAAAAAGTCATTATAAAAATTTGAGTATCTCGATTAATTGAGGAGATATATCACCTCATCTCGACTTGCCCCTGCACAGCAGATTGACTTTCACCTGTAATTCTCGTTATTTTCTAATTTTCAATTAATCGGCGTTTAGGGAGAAGTAGACTCTCGCAATTCGAACATCAGAGATTACCCAGTCCCCAATCGAAAAGCAACGCGTATGAAACTCTACAAAGAAAATATTGAAATGTATAAAAAAATAGTAGAGGTAGCTGCCACGTACTCGTTCAACGCTTTAATGAAGGACTGGAAGAAGAATAAACAATTGATGCAAAAAATGCGAAGTTATTTATTAATTTGCTCCTCTGGTGGTCCAGTAAATCAATAATTATTTCAATGAATTAATTATTTCCTGATACAGGCATCCCTCTCCCCGAAAAATGAGAAGACGACCCTCGACAGCGATGGGGAGAAAATCTCAAATGCAAAATGTAGAACTCACTCTCTCGACAATTCCTCCCTCGAGACCTCGATGTTTTTTTGAGATGGAAATACCCAGGACGAATGAAAAACTTGGAAAAATAATTCTAGAACTGTATGACGACGTCGTGCCGCAAACTTGCAAGAATTTTTTATCGTTTTGCGTGGGTTATAATGGATTTACTTACAAAAATACGCCATTCCATCGGATAATTAGAGGGTACATGTGCCAGGGGGGAGACGTGACAAAATTCAATGGAACGGGGGGCACATCCATCTATGGGGATAAATTTAATGACGAGAATTATCATCTCCGTCATAATGCTCCTGGAGTCCTCTCCATGTCCCACGACGAAAAGAATTTTAATGATTCGAAATTCAATCTGAGCTTCAGGATGTTGACAACCCTAGATGGAAAAAATGTTGTGTTCGGAAGAGTTGTCAAAGGACTTGCCAATATTTACCGAGTAATTGTCATCGAATAATTAAATTGAATAAATAAAGTCAGAATTTTAAATTCTGCTTTTCAAATCGTAGATCGAGGGGCAGGGAACGAGAGCTGGAAAACCCATGGAGACGATAATAATATCAAACTGTGGGATTTGTTGAGATAATAAAAAGATCAGTGACTTCCAAGGACGTGATACTTATCTTTACATCGATCAATCCTTACGGTAATTATCTAGCTGATTTTTAACACTTTATAAATTACGAGTGAATTTTTCTTTGTTGCTTGGAGATGGCAGACGATATTTTGCCATTTCTACTTCGGCCTCGGCGAAGCTGTCGACGTGATAGCAAAAGTACTCCGGATTTTTGTAGTCTGTGTTTTTGCTGGCGTTTGGACCAACGGCTGCAAAATACAATAACAATATTTCAACGACTAATAAACTTAAGGATTAATTAATAATTCTTCTAATAAATTTTTTTTTGCGAACGTTTTGAAGGTACAGCTACACATTTTTCACTCAATCCAGGTACATCTGGAATTGAACTTCGCTGATCAGTTTGTCCTGATTTTTCACTGTAGAGTCTCAAAGGCAATGCCCTCGCCTATAATATTAACATCAGCATTAACCGTAAATCATTGTTATTAATCCATAAATCATTTTAATTGGAGAATTTTACGTTTTACCTGACACTTTGACAATTTTGCCACCACTCTCAACATATTTTTAACTCACTCGAATAATCGTTGAGATTTATCAATTTATTACGAGAGCAAAACATGAAAAATCCCATGAACAGCTGATTTCTACAACATAAAGGCTCATCCAAATGATTCACTGCATCACAAGTGCGGGAATATTCGAAATAATAAAACGAAAATTTACCTGAAATAATGGGTTTATATTCAATATTTATATTTTTATATTTATTTGAAAATTAATATAAATTTACAATTTATTTTTCAAGTATAATTAATCGATTATAAAAAAATAATTTTTTATACTCCTTTATAATTTTTTTATCGACGAGAAATAATTTAAATTTTCATAAAACACATTTCCCAGTAAATTGTTAATATTTATGGTTAAAGTTTAAACATTATGTGATGAAGCGCCAGATCGTGATAATTCAATTTATTTTTTCGGAGTGAAAAATAAACATCTGAATTTTTCTATCTCAATATTCGTATTTATTTTTTGAATGGTCGAGCTAATCTAATTATAAGGGTCGATTCCGAGAAAAAATAGTTCCCACGAATCCGGGTCAGTCCTTCACTGGGGACTACCGAATATTATATTCAAGAGGAAAAGAATTGTCTCGAAAATAGAGCGATTCCGAGAAAAAAATAGAGAGAATTAAATGCCAATGAGGTAGCATAAACATTCAAACTTTTTTCTCAATGCACCTGTTATTGTTTTGAAATTTGAGTTAATCTAATTATAAGGGTCGATTCCGAGAAAAAAATAGAGAGAATTAAATGCCAATTTGGTAGTATAAACTTTCAAACTTTTATCTCAACACATCTGTTATTGTTTTGAAATTCGAGTTAATTCAATTTGTCAGCCGAAAGCCAGATGGCGATAATTCGATTTATTTTTTCTAAGAAAAATAAAGACCACCCAGAGCGACGGATTGGAGGGAAAAAAAATTCCATAAATAGAAAAAAATCATTGAAAACGAGTAAATAATATATAAAGTAAATAATATATAACGAATTAATTATAAAATAATAAACTCACTACATTCTGGAAATTTTGGAAGGTATTCTTTGCTGGAAAATTATTCATGCAAAATTTCCATTGAAGTTCTGCATTTTTTTTTAATTGCAATGAGTTCATTTTTGAAGTATAATTGATCGATTATAAAAAAAAAAATTTTTATCCTCCTTTATGATTTTTTTATTGATGAGAAATAATTTGAATTTTCATAAAACCCACTTTCCAGTAAATTGTTAATATTTATGTTTAAACAATATGTGATGAAGCGCCAGATGGTGATAATTAAATTTATTTTTTCGGAGAGAAAATTTTTTTTTTTTTTTCAATTGCAATGAGTGCAATTGACAACAAGGCTGGTACACTGACTAGAGTGGTCTCTTCAAAATCACCCTGTTCATGTGAACCCAGTGACTAGTGTTCGTGGAATGTGACTTGACGTAGCCGGTGTCGGTGTCCTGTTCGTGGATGGCAGAATGTCAACTGCATACCACAAACTGCATCCAAAAACGGTGAGCATTCACAAGAATATTTTTCCCAATAATTTTTATCTGAACTAAAATATAAACATTCACTAGTTCCTCGTGAATATTGTAAATTCCCTTAAAAATCCCCTTTCATCCTCTTTCATCTCAACTTCACTGGAAAATAAAAATCCCAGTGAAAAGGTGAACCTTCAACAGAATTATTTACCCATTCTTTCCTTTTTCCCTTGGAAATATTTTTTAAATAAAAATCATGCTCTATGTGTTGACCTACTATTTACACAAGTGCTGATATGATATGTATTAAATATTGAGTAGTGGGTACCTGTGATAAAAAAATATGTTAAAGCATCGAGAACATGTTTTGTGACACCTTGAGTTTCTGTGAGGTGCTCCAATTCCATTTCTCTTCGTCCGATAAATATTTTGTTTATTTATAAATTTTTTTGAACTCCCCAAATTAATTCACAAGACTCAGAAATCCAATCACGAATTATTCCCAAAAAAAAATTTCCATTTTCTGAATATTTCCCTGAAATATTTACATACCAAAGAATTTGGATTATCAAACATTTTTTTAATGCTGAAATTTCATAAATCGATCGTGAGGTAAAAATTATAGAAATATAAATCGTGTTGATAAAAAAAAAGAATATTGATTTCCTCGAATGACAGATCAACTGACGAAAAACGATAAATGAGGTATAATAAATTGGAGAAAGGTGGTGGATACATAAGAAGGTATTTAAACGGCAACTGACCCCTGAGTATTTCGATCGCTCTGTCCAGAATTGAGTTTATGCTGATTCAGGTCAACTCAGGCACAAGTATCATCTGAATCGTCTAGTTGAGATCCACAGTCACTCAATTGGCACCACCACCACCAAAAAGGCTAATAAATTTCGCCATTTGTCATCCACTCAATTCATCCAGTCAATCTATTTCCATTATTTTTTTATGTCTCAACAAAATATTACTCAGGGGTTCAATGACAGTGCAGACACATTCCACACGTATATAGTGCAGGGGAAAAGGTGAAATTGAACTTGTTTTATTCGTTATGTAATCGCAACCATGTCAATTCAATGAGACTATTGATAATTTTGGTGTTAATTGAAATATTGTGCCGGTACCAATGAAATTCATCCTGAGAAATTATTTTATCGGTTTATTTTTTATTCTAATCGTTACACTGACCCTGTAACTTGTTTATGGCCGGTGAGTTTTACCTCGGTAATTTCTAAAGTGTTGTCTTTTTTTTTTCCTCTATTTTTCCCGGACAATATTGATAACGAGGGTGGGGATAATGGGGGCAACATGTTCGGAATTTTTCTTTCATTTTTTATGTGGTAATTTCTCGATTGGAAGTGAAGGTTTTCGATTTTTTAAACATTCGTTTGAATTTCCCGAATTTTTTTAACTCAATCAGAGTAAATTATTTATGTTGTTGGAGTATTAATTTTTACTATCTGATTTCTTTTTTTTTTTTAACTGGGATAATATTTTAGTGCGGGAAATGAAGGACTTGGTTTTTTAATTTTTTTCGTGCGCTGTCAACAATTCTTTTTTTCTTGTAACTGTGATTGTGCAGTCCCATAAATTCTAGTTATCGATAAGGAAACGGTGATAAATTTTTCACTTTAACGAAGATAGATTGAAATGACAAACAATTTATTAGGAAAAGAATAAAACTTCCCACGTGAATTTTCATTTAATAATCTTCCAAAAATGAAAATAATGTGAATTTTTTTATCAGAGTCACTCACCCAAAAAAAAAAAATTGTAAATAAACCGCAAATACGATTTTTCGATTGACAACGCACGTTCTCCAGCATCGGAGGACTTATCAATTGTTTAAATTTCTCGCAGCGGATAAATCGTGTAAAAAAAAGGCCATAAAAAAATGAGAAACGTAAACCACCGAAGGTTGTAGTATTTTCACAATCCGATAATTTCTCACGTTCCGTAATTTACAATCGTTAAATACAAGATCGAAAGACACTTGTTGCCAGTCGATTTCCGGCTGTGACAGAGTGCAAAGCAGTTGTTATAAATTAAATAAATAAATTCACTGTAATTATTTGAATCAAGGAAGATTGAGGACACTGTCTGGACTGTCTCCCAGCCCTGACAAAAGGCAAATTGAGGTGGTGGATAAATAGGACACTGAGTGGATGAACTGGAGATACCGGAGAGACGTGACAATTCGTTCAGTGAATTATGGCTATCGTTCACAAACGTGAAAATTGTGAGGAAAGTGCTACCGACAGGATCAAGGAATTCTTCTTCAAACGTCTGCCGATACTCTCCTGGCTGCCCAGATATGACTCCGAGAAGGCAATCAGCGATGCCATCGCTGGAATTACTGTGGGACTTACTGTCATGCCCCAGGGACTTGCTTATGCCATTCTAGCTGGACTCGAGCCGCAGGTCAATTATTATTTTCACTTGAGTCTACCCATTCAAAAAATTATACTTCACGTTCAACTGGAGGAATAATTCCTGGAATAATTTTTTGATTTGGATTTCAGTATGGGTTGTACTCCGCATTCATGGGAGCAATTGTTTACGTGGTTTTTGGGTCTTGCAAGGATATTACCATTGGCCCAACAGCTCTCATGGCCATCATGACACATGAATATGTCCAGGGAAAAAGTCCAGACTTTGCAGTTCTTCTCGCCTTTCTCGCTGGTTGTCTCCAGCTCGTCATGGCTTGTCTCCATTTAGGTAAATAAATATTCACTGGGTAAAATTGATGGAGGAATTTGTTTAGGTAATTCTGAATTGTATTCTCTACCCCAGACGTTCTCATCGACTTCATTTCCATCCCAGTGACTGTGGGTTTCACATCAGCAACATCAGTAATTATTGTAGCCTCTCAATTGAAGGGAATGCTGGGCCTAAAAATCACGTCGTCAGGGTTCATCGACACGATCACCAAAGTCCTGAAGAATATCGGTGACACGAATCCCTGGGACGCTGGTATGAGCCTGTCCTGTATAATCTTTCTTCTATCCCTGAGGAAGATGAAGGACATAAAATTTGGATCGCAGAGTGGAAAGCCCTCGAGGGACCGGCGAATTCTGGCTAAAATTATTTGGCTGATATCAACAGCTAGGAATGCCATTGTCGTTGTCGTGTGCTCGACGATAGCCTACAAGATGAACTCGACGACTGGCTCGCCCTTCGTCTTGACAGGACCAGTGAGATCTGGACTTCCACCTTTCAGTCTGCCCCCATTCTCCACGACAACCAACGACAAACAGCTGAACTTCCTGGAGATGTGCAGCGAGCTTGGCCCAGCAATTTTTCTAGTACCAATTATCGGAGTACTGGGTAACGTGGCAATTGCCAAAGCTTTTGCTAATGGTGCCAGCGTTGATGCAACTCAGGAACTACTCACCCTTGGGCTCTGCAATGTCCTCGGATCGTGTGCCAGGGCCATGCCTGTCACTGGATCCTTCAGCAGATCTGCTGTCAATCATGCGAGTGGAGTCAAGACACCCATGTCAGGACTCTACACTGGACTCCTCATAATTCTTGCACTCAGTCTTCTCACACCATATTTTTATTTCATTCCTAAAGCGTCGCTGGCGGCTGTTATAATATGTGCAGTTATCTACATGATTGAGTACGAAGTTGTGAAGCTCATGTGGAAGTCGAGTAAGAAGGACCTGATACCGATGTTCGCCACTTTTTTTTTGTGTCTCGGAATCGGTGTTGAGTATGGTATTCTGGTGGGTGTTGGAATTAATCTCATGTTCCTCCTTTATCCATCAGCCAGGCCCACTATTCACGTTGAAAAATGTGTGACAGAGTCAGGAACAGATTATCTTTTGGTGACACCAGGAAATAGTCTCTACTTCCCAGCTGTTGATTTTATTAAACAATTTGTTGGTCATGCTGGTGTTCGAGAGGGCTCGAGTCAATTGCCAGTTGTGGTTGATTGCAGATACGTACTCGGTGCTGATTTCACTGCTGCCAAGGTAATCCATGGCATAAACAATAATAAATAATAGAACTTATTACTATTTTTATTACTCGAAAGTCCTGGACGGGGGGATTATCACTGGGATTTATGACTCCAGGGAATTGCAGCGCTCATTGATGAGTTTAATATGAGGAAACAGGGACTTTATTTCTTCAATCCACGATCAGATGTTGTCGCTGTATTACGAGGTGCTTGTGGTGAGGATTTTCAACATGTCGCCACACAGGAGGAGCTGTCGTATCTTCTCTATCGAAACCGAGGTGATACCTCTTCTCTTTACTTTCATTTATAATAAAGCTACAGTTATGTAATGATTTGCAATTTACAACTCTTTAAAACCTTCAAGATATTTTTTCAGTGTCGGTACAAATTACATTTTTCATTACAACGATAAATATGGAAAAATATTTTCAATGACAGATAAAATAAACGTTTTCCCGGAGGAATATATATTTTTTTGAATTAACACCATTTATTTCGCGTTTTATTGCACGCGTAAAGTTCGAGAAATCGAAATTCATTTTTTGTGAGAGAAAAAATCCGCGAGTTTCCATAAAAAAAATATGGCGACGGGTTAATTGAGGTGGTATGTGGACAAAAGATAAACAATTGGTGCAATTGATTTTTTAAATTGATATTTTGGAGGATTAAGGGCGGAGTTGAATTTTTTTTTTGCAGACAAATCGTCTCGGCCACTGTCTCTGAGGCGTGATCTCTCCTCCGAGGCCCTGATGAGTCCAGCTATCGAATTAACCCATCGGCCAACCCACACTAATTACCACGAATTGAGTGAAGTAAAGAGAACTTTACTGCCAGCCACTGCCAGCTGAAAAGTCAACGTCAACGTCACTCCATCCACCAGTCGTTGCATTTTTTTCTACCGAGACTTAGAAAATAGATTTTATGAAATGAATCTCACTGAATCCGTCGAAAAACACAAAGATAGAAAACGAAACAGACATTACATCTACAAAAACTAAAACATTACCTGAACAGTATTTTGAAGAGATCGAGATAAACATTGATCGATAACAGATATATCTCTTCAGCAGATTTAGACCTTCTGTTTTGTTACATGACATTTATTATACGGGTCCATGAGGAATTGACTTTACAAAAATATTGAAAAATATAAATATAGAAATATATGAGAGAAAACCTTGAATGTTATCATTTCCTACTTAAATAAATCAACAATAAGAGTTCAATAAAAAATTGCCAAAAAAAATTCCATGTCCCTGCAAAGACCATATCATATATTTTTCCCCGAAATTTCGCTGTCAATGAAAAAAAACATGAAAAATGAGGAGTAATGAGAGAGTAATAACTAGTTAATCACCGGATAACAGCGCAGGAGTGAAATTTGAGGTCATATTGATCTGGCGTCAGCGCAGAGATGTGAAAATCCAAGGGTGGGTTATCTGGTGACCTCCCCTGACAACACGTGGGCCATCCCCAGAAGCCGTTGCGCTGCCAATAGACACATGATCAACAAGTTAAGGCTTCTAATGTCCACTTTATCCCAGAGAGCCCTCTAAACCCCATCCAATGTGCCTCCACCCCCTCCAGCCCCTAAAATGTTTATAAATCGACGTACCCAGTGGTGGAGCTCACATCATCATCCCCAAGTGCTCAAGAAATGGAAAAATCAGTGACAAGGATGATCTCAGTATCAATGTAATGCATACTGTGGTGCATAAGGGAGTGATTATAATTCTAGTGATGTCGGGGACAATAATTCTCACTGGACTCGTAACAAAAACCCGAAAAAACGATATAATCCTCGAGATGATGGCGAATGTCAGCAGAAATATCGATAAACTCGAGGCTGGTATTGACGCTATCAACAGTGAAACTGAAATAGCTAAAACGAGATTTCAAAAATTAATTGGAATTCAGAGAGAGCGTCTGCTCGAGTGCTTTTTTAGAAGAAATGAACGTGAAAAGGACAAGTCCACTTTCACCACATCCAGTCCTGGATTGCCTTGAGGATAAATCCAGTATAATTATGAATCATCATGACAATCATCAAAATATTCACTATTATATCGATTAATGAATAATGCACCGATGAGTACTTTATCCTGTAGATCCAATAATTGAAATTCAAATATTCAGCATTCCACTGCAATTGCCAGAAATATTTATTATGAATATTGACGTATTTTCCTATGCACAGAGACTTCTGAATATTGATAAGGAGATTGATAAGAATTATCGGAGAGGTGGGGCCAATTGATAGACAATCTACATGAAAGTAGAATAAATGAGGAGAATTTGTAAATGGAAGACTGTTTGCGCATTTAATGATGATTATTATGTGATTAATTATTTCCCCCCACTGTTTATCATTATCGTCGGGGGAATGATTAGAATTGCCAAGTTACTTCAGTTGGGAGTGACTGTTCACTGCGGACATATCATAAATTTTATTCGGAGAGAATGGCTTCTTCGAAAGGTTTGATTAATTAATTAATTAATTTTGTGGAATAATTTTATTGAATGGGGGATATTTGTCAGAGTGCAGGGGGTGTGGTCCGGGATACAGGAGTCCTCTGGCTGCGATGAGAGAGGGATCGAGAGAGAAAATTATCTACGTCGTATGTCCTCACACCGATTCAACGAAACCAGATGTTCTTGCCACTGTCGATGTCGATCCAGACAGCTCCACTTATTGCCAAGTACTTCCTCAATATAATTGTTAATGAAACTAATAATTGAATAATTATAAAAACGAAAAATTCAGATACTGAAATTTTTACGGTTCCATTTTTACTGAAAATCTCGAAATCTAAGAGAGATTACGAAATTTTCGTTGATACCTTTTTTGCAGAGTTGATTGGGATCTACAAAAAATGTTATGATGAAAATTTGAGTATTTTTACTGGTTTCGGAGATATTCGTGATTAATTCACTGGGATTTCAGACGTGATCGCTACGTCATCGTTTTGCACGGGGGATTATTTAAACAAATCTGTTTGCAGATTATTCATAAGCTGAGGATGCCTTACGTGGGTGATGAACTCCATCATTCGGGTTGGAACGTGTGCAGCAGCTGTTTCGAGAGCAAGAAGAAGAGGAATATATTGGTTTTACCCGCTTTGATGTCCGATAGGATTTATTTCGTGGATACGAAAGAAGAGAGAAAGCCTGTGATAAAGAAAGTAATTATTTTCACAATGAAATAATCGATTGGTACCACGATTATTCCGGAAATAATTGTAATGATTATTTTATTAGGTACTGTGGCCTGAGGCGATGCATAAACAGGGATTATCCACTCCCCATACATCTCATTGTGCCCCCACGGGGGAGATAATCATATCGACGATGGGGAAACCAAATGGCGATGGATTGGGTGATTTTTTTCGAGTTGACAGTGAAACACTTCTAGTCAATGGGACGTGGACGAAGGGTGAGAAAGCCCAATTTGGATACGACTTCTGGTACCAGCCCCATCACGACACCCTCGTATCAACAGAATGGGGTGTCCCAAGAGTCTTCAAGAGGGGATGGGCTAATGGAGATGGTGATAATCCTCGTAAGTGTGGGAATCATTATAAAACACGATGTAATAACAAATTATAGAATATCTGTTATTAAATATTTTAATTGTCACTCCAGTGGTTTATGGAAGAAGTTTAAACATCTTCTCCTGGAGTAAACAAACCCTGGAGCAAGTTATTAATCTTGGGGATGAGGGGGTCGCACCCCTGGAGATAAGATTTTTGCATGAACCGACTTCTGGTGAGGGGTACGTCGGCTGTGCCGTTTCTTCAAATATTTTTCGCTTTTTCAAAAAGGAAGATGGAAAGTGGGATGCGGAAAAGGTCATCGATGTACCTGCGAAGAAAGTCCAAGGATGGCTGACACCTTATATGAATGGTCAATTTTTGAATATATTTTGAATATTTTATTTCAGGATTTTTTTTTTTTGTTTTCGGTGGAGGGGAAATTTCAGCGTTATTTTTTAATGGCCATTTTTCAAACTTCAGGGATGATAACGGATATATTGATAAGTCTGGATGACAAGTACTTGTACTTCAATAATTGGCTCCATGGGGATGTGCGTCAGTATGACATAACGGATCGCAGAAAGCCAAAATTAGTTGGACAAGTGTTTCTCGGTGGATCGATTCTCTCAGACTCGAAAGTTCGTGTAATTGATGATAAGGAATTGACAGCCCAGCCAGATCCGGTGGTTATCAAAGGGCGTAGGTTGTATGGATCTCCTCAAATGTTACAGCTGAGCCTCGATGGACGGAGACTTTATGTCACCACTTCCATTTTCAAACCCTGGGACATTCAATTCTACCCCGAGCACGTCAAGTAATTATCCCCCTTCCCAATCAATATTTATCAAATAATTTTTTTCCGGGAGATCTCATTTTTTTTTTACCTAGAAACGGATCGACGATGATGAAAATTGATGTTGACTTGGAAAATGGAGGAATGACGCTGGATGAAAATTTTTTGATTGATTTTGGAGCTGATAAGGATGACGTCCTTTTAGCGCACGAGATGAGGCAAGAATTTTTATTAATAATTTTAATGAATGGGTAAAAAAAAATTTGTTTCTTGTAGATATCCTGGTGGGGACTGCACCTCAGACATCTGGCTTCCGGAGACCCATTGAAATTCTGAATACCATGTACCGAATAAAAACCTGAATAAATCCTTGAAAATATTTTATTGCCTTTTTTTCTGTACAACCACTTGATGTCTCCTCTCGTTGCTTCAACAATCGCCGGAAGCGAGTGAAAGTGAACAATACGTTCACTCGATAGAGACAGACCCCCTAATTATCCTCTCCCCTTTCTTTATTATTATCGAATCGAAGTACATGAAATTCTCATGAAATTACATAACACGGGGATTATATAAAAACGGGGATTGACTCAAAAAAATAATCAGAGTTCAGAATTCGATATTAATATATAAGTCTACCTCGACAATAATTTAATTCCCTGAATTTTCAGGATGAATGAGAAATGCAGGAATTATTAATTTCAATTGGAGAATCTTTGGGGAATTTGGAAATTTTTGTCATTTTTAATCCCGAATTTCAAAAAATCCCGCCGACGCTCCCCCACTTCAAGATGGCGGAGGAGTGGGAGAAGTGGAGAGTCGATTGTCGAATGGTCTGTTGCGATCGGCGCGATCTCGTTTCAGTCTCGAGATATTTAGTTTTAGTCTCGCCGAAGCCATCGTCGCGTGTGTCCGCGATGTACAACAATAAATAAATCAAGCTTAATCACTCCAAACTAGTCTCCGGGGCCAATTGAAGCACCCCCACACCAATCCCCCCCTCAAAAAAAAAAACCAAGTCAATAAAGCCCCAACTAAAAATAAAATAATCATCATCTCCGACTCATCCAGTAAAAATCCGTAACGCGAGTGATCATCATATGTTATCACCTCCACCAAGTGATGATTCCCACCTAGACCCCCGATAAAGTGCCAAAAAAAAATCATCGACAAAATTGGATACCGCAAAATGGTAAATCCTGAAATTTATCCAGTAATTTAAACATTTACATAATTCGGATGCATTCACCTCTGCCTGGAGAGTCAGTAAAAATAATATTGAATTGTGCATTGAGGATTTTCTCTTACCTGAATAGTGAGGAATTGGAATAGGTGCGTGATGGAAGGGTCTGTCCCTCGGAAATCAAAGGGACGAGCAGGTAAAACCGCTACCTGGGGGACGAGGTCGGAGTACCTGCGGGCGAATGACATATCGCGTCAAGTGGAATCTCTCATAAACAACCGTTTTCTTTTACCTCCCTCCAGATGACCCCCCCAGGTACCCCACCCCCTCTCCACTCTTTCTCCCCGTTTTACCCCTCGCAATCCGCCCCCCATCCGCCTCCCA